CTCGCTGCTTGGAGACATCTCTGAGATGGCAGCAACTGTGCCTTAGCCCTAGGAAAGAAACCTCTGCTGATAGCAGCGTGGTATGGCTGAAGCGGAGTCTGACAGCACCAGTATATACTTTAGGAAAACAAATGATGTCGTCGCAGATTTCAAGCTGTGCTCGGAATTGGTACAATATGTCATACTGAATTTTCTGCCAGATTTAAGAGTGATATGGCAAGATCTTCATCTGCTGTGAAGACGTGCAGCATCACTGACTTCCTTAGAGCTGTATAAGTGTATGCAGTTGGGGATGGGGCCCAGGAGGCTTATACTAGAGATCAAACAAGCTCAAACAAGCCACTGCTGCGCTGAACGAGTGCAGGGTGCTAAAGTCGGGGAGGGTAAGGGCCGTTACCACGCAGGAGCTCAGAAAGCAGGCAGCCTGCTTGGTACAGCAAGGAGGAGAAATTCCCTGTTCATTGCTCCAGGAACAGCAACGTTTAGTCAGGAAGCCCACCACCGCTTTGGAGCTGGAACAGCCCCGATTTACTTGGAAACGCTTTTCCATGTGCCAAGTCGGGTAATTTTGCAAACTTTTTTAAAAATCTCCAAATGCCTCGCCCTTTGTGACAGGAAGCTGTAAATATTGCTAAGTCAATATAAACTGCCCAGTTTTAAGGAAGGCAGTAGTTTCAGCAAATGCCATGCCTTCAGGGCCGCTTATCCACTGAATGCGGAGGAGACGCGTGTTTCTGCCTCCCCCCACAAAGGGAGAGCGAGAAAATGGCACTTTTGAGTCCAGCATCAGCCTTCCTGCACCCACTCTGCCTCCTTGCCGCACTCTCTGCTTAAAGTCTCCCGATTCCTCAGTTTCCCCACTGTCCCTTTAGGCAGATGGAGAATCAGATCATTGGCTGCTTCATCAGCACGGTCTGTCCGACGGGCAGGGGCTGGGGAGGGGCTGCCGGAGGTGCAGCCCCACACCGGGGGTCCCATCGCTGACACCCCACTTGTCCCTCGTTACTGCAGGCTGGTCTCCCCTGGCTCGGCCAGCCGTGTACGTCTGGTCTCCGTGTCTGCTCCTCAGAGGAAAAGGAAAGGGAGGAGCATCACCTGCTTGGCAGGAAGGGACGCACAGGACACCAAGAGCCAGGACTAGCTCATACAGCTTTAAAATTGCATGAGGTTTGGGGTGAAGCTCAGGTTTTTTTTTTTTTCCCCTAGAAGTCATCTGAGGACTTGGAGAAATAATAAAAGGAGAGCTGTGGAATTATTTTCCCGTGTTTGGACACTGTATTGTACTGGCATTTATGTGCGTGGTGTTGCTGTAATACAGTCAGTTCAGCCTTTCCACTGATGACCTTTTCTGTAACATTAACCACAACATTGTGCGCACACAATATTGCAAAGAAAAAGGTGAGGCAAGGATGCCAGTTGACTATTGCCAGTTTAAGTACTATATAGGATTTGCAGTTACAGTAATGACAGGTGCAAATGCAGAACCAGAAAACAGGCAATTTTCTGTAAAAAAGTTGCATGACACTAAAAAAATACCTAGCTTGCTCAATAATGTGCTTGGTTGCTGTCATTTATTTTTGCAGGGTCCCTTTCCCAAGGAGATGGTTATTGCTCTTCTGTACATTTACCAACACAATGACTTTCCCCTATAATGAATAGTTTAACAATTTAGGGCTAACTTGTGCCTTTACATTGAATTAAGTTTCTGATGTAAGGACTGGTCACGCATGGCATTAAGGTCATGAACAGAGGCATTTACATTCTGAATCCTGGTGAATCATATTACGCGTGTTGCACTGGTTTTTACTTCATTCCCTGGTCGACTTCCGTAACCAAGCATAGCCTGTAACATTTACTTTCCCGGAATGAAATAAATCCTGCATAGGGGATTGACATCACTTTTGTTTCTCTTGTGCCTTTTGCACAGTGTTTAAATTTCAAGTGGTCTTGTAGGTTTCATACAAATATTCCGTGGAAAGTGGATTCTGCTTTTAATATTTTAACTCTTTATATCCTACAGCCTTGTAAATCATGGGGCTGTTAGAGGCCAGCATGCAAATCACGCAGCTATCTTTACCTAATGTGCAGGTGAACCCATCTGGAGGTGAAAGTTATTAGAAGAATATTGTATTTAACTGAAACATAATTACATTTATATAGGTTAGAGCGGAAATCTTTCAAAGTTCCACCGAGGACAGCATAGTTAATAACACTGCTTTATCTCAGCTGATGGCTGGCGCACCTCGCAGTGTGCGGTGGGACCCGGGAGCATGTCTTTGAAAGCAGGGAGGTTTAGATTAGGTATCAGGAAGAAGTCCTTCACGGAGAGGGTGGTGAGGCACTGGAACAGGTTGCCCAGAGAAGCTGTGGATGCCCCATCCCTGGAAGTGTTCAAGGCCAGGCTGGACGAGGCTTTGAGCAACCTGGTCTAGTGGAAGGTGTCCCTGCCCATGGCAGGGGGGTTGGAACTAGATGGTCTTTAAGGTCCCTTCCAACCCAAACCGTTCTGTGATTCTGTGATTCTATGTCTGCCACCACAGAGTCCTCCTTCCTGGGTTGTCCACCCCAGCGGGACTTTGCATGGACAGACTGAGGGGGCTGCAGACACAGATGTCCCACAGTAACATTTAGTAAAGCAGGTAAATTTACATGAGGTATGCTGTGTTTTGCTGTCCATTCTGTGTCTGAAGCCTTGAGAGGGCCAGAAGCCCAAAACTAGGGAAGAAGCCATGTATTAAACAACTTTGTGTACAGTCAGTCCTAAAACAAAATACTGGCTTAAATATTCAGAGGATTAATGGGTAAGATTTGGTGAAGCAAATTTGTGCAAGACTTGCAGGTCTCTTCTTTCCTCTTTGTTGTGGAAAGGCCTTTGCTTTTGCCAGTTTGGCAACTAACTCTCAGGCTGCAGTGACAGTACACAAACACATAACCCAAGAGATAACTATTAAAATCGATTTGTGAACTGTTTGGTTTGTGTTTTAAAATGTGCAGTGTTCGCCTAGCTTTGGTTTTCAGAGAATGCACTAAAAAAAAATAAATGCATTGCCTTAGAAGAAGAAGCCATTCTCTTTGCCTTAGGTCTTACAGTAGACCCCTGTCAACGGCAGACTGAACCTCATCCGTGATGCATGGCAAACAGGTTGGCAGTTGATAAGCGTTGTGCCTGTCTTCCCAGAGTTCTTTCAAGGATTTCAGCTGTACCCAACCAATATGTGTATGCTGGTCCCTGCTGCACACCCTGCTCTGGTGCATCGCAGTACCCGAGTGCTGTCGAGTGGCCAGGCTCTGCCTGAGCAGCTCTTGTGTGTGCTTCGCGAATGGAAGGGCCAAGTTCCGCCGAGGACATGGCAGTGTATAGATGGGAGGCGATTGCTAGGGTTTAGCGCTGCTTTACAAGTGCGTGTGGATTCTCAGCACAGAAGGAGGCTTGTTTTTGAATGAGAGGGTAGATAACGCAGCGCTCGCAGCCTTCTGCGGCAGAGCGATGCGAGGATGTCGCCTTTTGAAAGAACCAGATTTCTCTTGTGAACGTTGTGCTGGTGGGTTGTTCTGCCTCGTCCTTTGAAATGAAGGTATTTCGGTGTACTGTGAAAAAGAGTGTTTGTAGACTTGCTGACTTACATAAAATGGAATATTTCATTCAGTACATGAAAAGCATCTTCATTCAGAGGAGGCTGGAGCTTTTCCATCCTACTGGAAAAGGACTATTTTCTCATGAAATGGAAAATAAACTAACCTGATACTTTGATTACTACACAAAATACAGTGCTTCCTTCCAATGGGAAAAAAAGTAATGACGTTTATAATCAGCTCTGCAGTAGCCTGCAGAAGCACTGTTGCATTATCGATAGCTGGCTTTTTCTCTAGCTTAGATCTGTATTCGTCTGCGTCCTCGGTTTGTGCCCAGGTCGCTCTCATGGTCGCCTGTTTCACAGAAAGCCTTTATCTCACGTTCCCCGGTGGCGGGCAGGGCAGCCCGTGCAGAAAACGTCCAGCCGCATCGGAGAGCAGGGTCCTTGCTCCCTTTGCTGCCTTTATGCCTCATGCGCCACGCTCACGTGTGCTTAGTGTGCCCAGCATTGCTCACCTCGTGAGGTTTTCCACGCTCAAGACTAAAACTGAACTGTGCTGGGTTCCAGTTCTGCTATGGTGTGCTGGATTCAGCCAGGAAAGGGTTAACTCTCTTTACCCTGGCTGCTAGGAAGCTGTTCCTGGATGCAGGGAGCAGCACTGATAAGTTCTTAGCTGGCACTGAGGAATGTCTGTACCAGTTTCAAGGTCTTTTCTCCGCTTCTGATACTGCAGCTGCGTTCCCAGCTCTCGCGGTCTCGCTACAGAGAGTGCTGGGACATAGAGTTCAGACACCTGACAAAAACTGGCCAAAGAGGTATTTCATGCCATAGTACGTCATGCTGGGGGCAGAGGCGAGGAGGGGGTCCGGTCGCCATTACTCTCCCTCCCTGACTCTCTCTGGTTCACTCCCGTACGCCTGCTGATCCTCACCCTGACTCCTGCGTTAGCTGCTTCGCTAACTCCTGTGCTGGCTGGTTTGTGAGGGAGTTGGTGGGTTTGTTTAGTCTTCCTGGTCGTGCTATCGCTGACAGGGTTTGCTTGGAATCTGCTGCGGCAGCGCTCGGGCTCCGGCCCTCGGGCTGCGGCTCTCGGGCTCTGTGGCTTTGACTCTCACTTTTCAGCAGCTGGTTGTACATTGGTCAGTGGGTAGTGAGCAACTGTATAATATTGTATAATATGTTTTATTTTCTATTGTTTTAATTATTTATTACTAGTAGGACTTGTATATATGAATTTAGATTTAATTAGTAAATAGTTCTTATCTCAATTTTACGAGCTTCCTTATTTCTTTTTCCCTCCAATTCATCCCCTCTACTGAAGGAGGGGAGGGGGGGATTTGTGAGAGCGGCTTCATGGTATTTTGCTAGCCGGAGTTAAACCATGACACATGGGTATGGCATAATAAACTCTTTTCCTTTTTTCAGGCCCGAACTGCTTTGCAGAAACCACTGTCATTCCAGCAGGCCGGGAGGTGAAGACTGATGAATGCACTATATGTCACTGTACTTACGAAGAAGGCACTTGGAGAATCGAACGGCAAGCTATGTGCACTAGACATGAATGCAAACAAATATAGGCAACCTACGAATCTAAGTACTTTTTGTGGTTTTTATAAAATGTCTCACTGCGGTGAGCACCCTAGATGACCCAGGGAAATCTGAACGAGAAGATTCTGGCGAGGAGCAAAGAACGAAGTATTGATATTTTGGTTTTCGAAGTTAATATAACACTGCAAGGCAAAAAAGTGCATATATTTAAAACATTTGGACTTAAGAATACTTGTCTTAATAAATGTGTTATTTTCACAGTGAGTACACTAAAATACACTCTATAAAATATTATATGTATTTCTATGATACTATTATAGAGCTTAAAAATAAATGTTTTATATAGACAATACAGATTAAAGTACTGTATCATTGCCTGCCCTGTTACACATGCACCGTGGTGAAAACATTTAATTTCTGTTCAGTTTCATCATATAAGGGTTTTCTTGGGATTTTTTGGTTTGGTTGGTTGGTTTTTTCCCTGCTTATTTTCAGTTTCGTGGGCCAGGAAAGAGCCAGCATATGACAAAACTTTGACGTTCTTGCTTTTGAAAACAATGGAATAGAATATGCTTTCAGAGAACATGCGCTCATGTATGAATATTGCTGTCGTGTAGAGATGGGTCAACTCCTTCTCTTACACGCTGGTGCGTATCCACTGATCCACGGCCGAGATGAGGGAATAGGAAACTGGTCTCTCATAGCTGTTGTTCTAAAAAATTCATCAGACAAAATTAATTCCGAATATTGGGTTCAGGGATAACGCATTTCAAAAAAAAATGTGACGAATATCACATGGCCCGGCTGGTGGAAATGATGGTGAGTAACCACACGGCATCGTTAATGTAACACATGGTGGATGCGGAGAAGTGCAGCTTGGAAGGGCGAGAGCAGCCAAACAAGCCTCCACGTTGTTAATCCATGGGTAGGAGAGCTGGTTAGTAGCTGCAGCATTCCCTAGACCCTGCCCTTGCCACCTTGCTGGTGAATATCACATGGCCCGGCTGGTGGAAATGATGGTGAGTAACCACACGGCATCGTTAATGTAACACATGGTGGATGCGGAGAAGTGCAGCTTGGAAGGGCGAGAGCAGCCAAACAAGCCTCCACGTTGTTAATCCATGGGTAGGAGAGCTGGTTAGTAGCTGCAGCATTCCCTAGACCCTGCCCTTGCCACCTTGCTGGTGCTGGGTCAACATTTTGGTTCTTTCTGGCAGTCTGTACGGGGTCTGCGACACTCCATGCTGAGGAGGAAGGTTTTGAACCAGCTCTTTTGCATCCATCACAGAATTTCCAGCACGGAAGCTGACCCTGACTGTGTGAGGGGAATCAGTCTCTTTGCTTCAGCCATCAGTGGCCTTTGCTTAGATTCATTTTGGGTTTGTTTTAGTTTAACAGCTCAAGAAAGTGCTTAAACATGGGCTCACCTTTAGGCTTTTGCTAGAGGGAAGACTTAATGAATCTGTCTAAAACCAGAGGAATATTGCTTAAACTCCCACTGACCCTTTGCTACTTACTCCCATGGTATAACCTGGTTACCAGGTTTGCATCCATATGAAGTACGATTTTCTGGTCCTTCTGGAGACCATGGGACTTTTGGCAGTGACATCAGTGGATCCTAGGTCCCACCTCATGTCTGTGTTTCGAGCACATGTCTGTCGCTGGGCGTTATTTTCCCCAACGATGGTGCGGGAAGGGGAAGAGGAGGGACCGAATCAGAGATCAAGGAACTGTCTCTTGCACAGACAGTCCTGTGGCGAAGTTGTGCATGCTATTAGCCGAGTCACAAGAAGAGTGGGAGAGGGGAAGACATTATTTGATTTAAGTAGTTTTAAATCACACAGAAATCAAGTCAATGATAACTTTCCCTGAACTGGATATGCACGTATGTAAACATTGTGCTGGAAATGCTATTCTCCAGTAGCTGGAATTCCTAGCAGGGATACAGAAAATATTACACCTGGGCTGTCACTCAGTCAGCTGGTGGCAGTGGAGGGTGACACAGAATACAGGGTTGGATATTTTTTCTTGGAAGAGAAGTGTTTCATCTCTCATTTTTACCTAGACTGTAAATACACTTCCATATACAAACAAAAATACTTGATTTTGCCATTTTTTTATAAAAAGAGTACCTCATTCATTGTATACCTCTCATTAGCACAGTGAGAGGATGCTTATTTGGGAGTAAAGGAGCTATGGTTTGGCTAAAAATAGTATAATTTTAGGTATATACCTATCCATTTAATGAGATTCAGTAGTCATATGACTGAAAGCTTGCTCCTAAATCAGTGGGACCTGTGCCTCATGGCTGTGTAGGCTTCTGCTTACTGAAATCAAGTACCTGCACAGCTCTGGGAAAGTGCCGTGAGCGCCAGCGGTCTTCCGTGCGTGTCTCCTCGAGGCGAGTGGAAGTACCTACGTAGGAAGAGGCTGTGCGACATGAGTAAGAGCAGCAAAGGTGGACTTGCAACTCGGTGTGGGATTGTCTTTCCGAATAGGCTGCTTAGCGTCTCTTTACGAGACACGCATGTTTGCAGTGGAATTATGAGAGAGGCAGAATTTGTGTCTTACAATGTATGGCCATAATGTTTAAGTTTTTGGAAATGTCACCTTGGACTTGTCCTTCTTTGCTTCTCCTTCTCTGGAGGTTCTTGATAAGCATTATACTGTCTTGATAAGCATTATCCCAGGTCTTGAATTTCTGTTCTTTTGGGAAGTTTTGTCTTTATTGAAGAAGCGAGTGCAAAGTTAAAGAACACTTAACGTGTTGCTAGTGTAGCTTTACCGTAGTAATAGGTTATTCCTTTCCCATTTCATATGGAATTTCCTAGGCAAATTTCATCTTGACACCCAGTTCTGTGGGTGGTTTCTTAAAGAGATCCTATTTTGAGATACCTTTCCTTTTGAGAAATAAAATTCAAGTCTTTTGAGATCCTTTTTTTTTTTTTTTCATGTAGAGAAGTATGAGTCCATATTGAGCTTTGGACCTTCTTTATGCTGAGGTCACTGGCCACATCCAGCTTTGGCTGGTAGTATTATCACATAAGAGCGCTCTTTGCTTACCCCTGGGATGGGGAAATGGGCTGCGTGACTGATCTTGGGCAGATCTCACTGCCCAGTCGTGGAACCACAGTTGGTACACAGTGTGTTGTGGGGCTCAGCACCACACAGCCGCTCACTCACTCCCCCACTGCCCACCCCCAGTGGGACAGGGAAACAGAAAGGAAGAGTAAAACCAAAAAGGCTCATGGGTCAAGATGAAAATAATTTAATAAGTGAAGAAGTGGAAGAAAACATTAAAAAAACCAAACCAGAAGCAGTGATGCTTCTCACCACCACCTCCCATGGGCAGGCTGGTGGGCAGCCAGTTCTCTAGCAAAAAATGGCTAACCTTACCTAAACCTCACTCCTCTCCATTTTACTGTTGAGCAGAACATTCTATGGCATGGAGTATATCCTTGGTTAGTTCGGGTCATCTGCCTGGCTGTGTCCCCTCCCACTCTTGCGCACCCCCACTCTGCTCGCTGGGGGTGAGTGAGAAACAGAGATGACCTTGACGCTGCGCACACACTGTTCAGCGACAGCCAAAATACTGGTGTGTTACCCGCATTGTTTTGGTCACAGATCTAAGACAGGGTGCATACTGCAAAGAGTAACTCCATCCCAGCCAGAGCCGGTACATGGCGATGCCATCAGCAACCCCAGCACAGAGGTGAACACACTGAAAGACCCCGAGAGCCGAACTCCGGCGAGTGACTGCACAGGAGCGGGTGGGCCGTCGGCAATGGAGTCGGGGAGCCGAGACTTGCAGCGTGCTGCAGAGTGTCACTTCAGATAGACAGAGGCTGAAAAGAGAAACCTTCCTTTCTCTTTGTAGGAGTGGAAAATGGAAATGTGGAAATTCAAAGATCTAAAGTTAAAAATTAGCCATTATGGAATTCAGGTGGAAACCATTCACCTTTAAACAAATTTAATCTCTAAGCAAAAAACCCAGAAGTGCTGTGGTGGCCATATGTCCTTATCTAAATGTTATTATTCAGTCATGTCTTCAGTCACCTGTTCATATTTAACCTTAAAAAACAAGAGAAAAGCTGTCTGCATCATTTCCAGTGAACTAAACTCCAGAGGATATTGGCAGCCCTACTGCAGCCTAGGTACTCAGCTGGATTTTGCCTCAGTGTGAACAGTATTATGCATCCTGCTGCATATGAGGAGTTCTTCAGCTTTGCAGGTGGGCTGTGTCTGTAAAAGCTGTGTTTCCAGACCCGGTGATAGCTCATGAATAATTCCGTGTTTGAAGGTCTGTTGCTTGGGTAATGACTGTTCTTCTCAGATGTGCTCATGTAGCTGCACTGGCATGAATATAGGATTTCTGCTTCTACTTCACTTGCTTCTGCTTATGTCCCAGTTGAAATCAAGACAAATTAATTCTTGGTTTGGCCTTGTCCATTTTTCTAAGAGTGCACTGTACATAATTTGTTCTCAAACCTCTGTAAGTGGGTGCCTGAAGAGATGATACTCTAGATGGTTTGGGATAATTATAGAAGTGCACAGTTAGTGTGCAACAGGTTTCTTTATGCTACGCATTTAAACCACAAAAATGGAAGTGCTGGTATTCACTTAAATACTGAAGCGAGATGTAAAAGGGAAAAGGGGAAAAAGAGGATAGATAATATGAGATAAGCCAGAGCAGCTGAGCGTTACAATAGGAATGTTCAGAAAAAGGGAAACAGCTGCCATGTCATACGGGTATTTCACAGGGAGAATTTTTAAAGAACATCATAAGAAAAGTAAATGAGAAATGTATTGGGGCATAAATTGAAATCAGGAAATTCTAGCTGGAGATGAAAAAACAAAATCATACAGTAAAGGTGATTCCATACTGGAGGATGTTGCCCAGCGATGTCGCAGAGTCTCCGTCTTTGAGGGTGGTCAAAACCCGACTGGACACGGCACAGAGCAGCCTGCTGTCGCTGGACCTGCATTCAGCAAGGTGTCGGACTGGACGATCTCCAGAGGTGTGCGAGTGAAGCCAGGTTTAAATGGCATTGAATGAAAGTCTGTAATACAAACAAGAAAGTAAAAGATAGGATGAAAGGTTCCCTCACTTTGGAAAACAATCTCTTCTGTTCTCATGTGGTGTAATATAAACTCTACTGTCACGATTGTAAAGTGTTTGATGTTGCTTTTGATGGTAATTTTAATACCTAAACTATGATAGCTCCATAATACGTAGGAGGCTTTGAAAGGCACATATTACTTAAGAACCTAATGCAATCCAACTAAACGCTCCATTTATTCCACTTACCAGGCAATGAATTTTCTTCACAGCCAGCGTTACCATGGGTTTTCTGTCTGCAAAAATACAC